TCTATGTTGTTTGATATGAGTAATGCCACCCCAGCTTTTTTGAGAGGGTTCTTTGCTTGCAGCTTTTTTTCTATCCTTTGACTTTTGAGTCTGTGTTTGTTCTAACTGTTCAGATGTGTTTCTTGTAGACAGCAGAATGTTGGGTTCAGTCTCTGAATCCATTTTGCCACTTTGTGTCTCTTAATTTGTGAATTTAGACCATTGACATTGAGAGAGATTATTGTTATGGGGTTTTGTGTCATCTTTCAGTAAGGGTTTTTTGTGCTTGTAGGGTTTGTCTTGTCTTACAGTATCCCCTTTAGCCCTTCTTTTAGGTTTTGTTTTGAGTATGAAGTTCCTGAGATGTTATTTATCCGCAAAATAGTGTACCGTTCCTTCAAGTTTGAGTGAGAGTTTAGCTAAACAGAGTATTCTTGGTGAAGCATTCATTTCTTTGAGTTTTTTTTTTCACTATATCCCACCAATGTCTTCGGGTTTGGAGGGTTTCCTCTGATAGGTCTGCTGTGAATCTAAGGGGTTCTCCTTTGTACGTGATTTCCTTCTTTGACTTTGCTGCTTGCAGTATTGTGTCTCTATTGGCGGGATCCATCATTATAACTATGATATGTCTTGGGGTGTTTTTGTTAGGGTCTCTTTTAGCTGGCACCCTTCGGGCTCCTTGAATCTGGATGACTGCAATCATCTCCAGCTCTGAGAACTTTTCAGCAATGATTTCTTTAACTGTGGCTTTTTCATTGGGATTGCTTCCTGTCTTTCTGTTACTCCAATGATTCTAATGTTGTTCCTCTTGAAATCATCCCCGACGAATCTGATTTGCTCTAGAGCTATTTTGAGGTGCCTTCTCAATGATTGTTGTTGCCTGTAAGCTTCCTGCAGCTCATCTTCAAGCTCACTGATCCTGTCTTTGGCTGTAGCCATTCTACTGTTAATGGCACACACTGAGTTTTTTATTTCATCTACCGAATCCTTTATTCATGACACTTTTGTGCATAGCTTTTCAATTTCGGTTCTCATTTCTTCCTGTATTTTCTCGTTTGTCTGATCCATTGTTTCTTTCATGTCCTCCTTTAATTTACTGGATATCTGTCCCACAGTTTCTTTATGTTCATTAAACATCTTCAAAAGTTCATTTCTGAATTCTTTATAACAGAGCTCACATTTGTGAGTAATGCCTATTGAGGCTCTGGACTCTTCATCATCTTCTCCTCGTGGTGGGGGTTTGCACTCTTTCTTCATGTTGTGGTTGTGGTATAGATACTGGGATGTGACACCAGATTACTGGGTATGGGTAAAAGAACTGCTGCTCCTATTAGGCTACGCCCACTCCTGCAGAGGTCACGCCCCCTATTGTTATGTGGTGTGGGTGGGTACGCACCTGGAGAGGGAGAAAACCTGCCCAGCATTGGGGACATAAAGGAAGGTGCTCAGGGAGGGTGTGCGGCCCAGGGTCTGAGAGGATGCCCGGGGCTCGGGCGTGGCAGAGGTGGGGTCCCGGGTTCGATTATTCACTGACTTGGGAGAGGGAGAAAACTGGGTGCGGCATTGGGGATCAACAGGATGGTCCTCAGAGAGGGTCCTGAAGAATATTTTAAATTTACTACTGTTTTCAGGTGGTTTAAATGATTTACCAATAGTTATTTTGCGTATGTAAAAGTGTTAATTTTAGGCAGCAGGAAAAGTTTTAGAAATTCTAGATAAGAAAACTTATCTCGTGGAGAAAAAGTACTTGCCAAGGCAATCTTCACTATGAATGAAGTCCCCCTATTCTGAAAACAGATGTAGGAATGATTACTGTGTCTTTAAGTCTTTATATGGTAAGTACAATAAGCTTTTGTGTCCTTTATCGCTTACAATTATTTTTTTCTCATTTAATTTCCTTTATTTCTTTCAGTTTTTCTTTTTTTGGGGGGAGGGCAATCCCAGGTGGGGCTCCTCCTGCAGTTCTCACCTATTGGCAGTGGTTCAGTGCAAGGGTTCAAGGATGGAAGACTGCAATGCTGGGGACACCCTCAGTGGTGCTTGGTCTCCAGAGCCACATCTGGCAGTGCTTAGGGGTCTCCAAGACTACACCTGGTAGTGCTTGGGGGGGGACAGTGTGGGGCTGGCAGTTCTTGGGGGGGGGGCAGTGTGTGGCTGGGAATCAACCTTCCCAAGTTGAGCACATGCAAGCATGCACCATAACCTCTGTACTATCTTCTGGTCCCGTTACTACTTGTTCTTATCCCAGAAGATTGGTAGGGCTGTGTTCCTTTGTGATCAGCTGTTACACTTAAAACCTCCCCCCCTTCATGATTAAAAGTTAGTTGTTATTTTCTTCATAAACATTGGAGACCCCTCTCCCCAACAATTAAATTATATGCAAACTTAATTTGCATATAATTTATATAAAATTATATAATTTTATAATGATATAATTTTATAATAAAATATACAAAAATTTATGCAGTTGATTTATATTCAGTTAGTTATGCACCTAGCATTATTGTAATGGTTAACTAATTTTAACCATGTTTTCAACCAATTAAATCTGGTAGGTGGGATAACCAATGATTTTTGCTGTTTATGTACACAAAAAATTGTATACTCTTCTCTCCAATAGTAATATTTCCTATTTTATTTTATTTCATTACATTGTATTTCTGTAGTTTCTACACCAATGGTAAACAATAGCATGGATGTTATGAGATTTTTTTCTTTTAACTGAAATTAACCTAATACTTTCTTTTTTAAATTTACAAAATACCATTTTATAATTCTTAAAATTTGATTCATAATTATAAGTGAGTAAAACAATTACGAAAAATCCAATAGAATAGTACAGAGATTAAGGCATTTGACTTGCATGCAGTTGACCAGTGTTTGGTCCCTCATACCACATGCCATGGAGTGTTCTACCTGTTTTCCTCAATAAAACTTGTGTATTTAAGTCTGATAGCGAGGTCTTATACAAAATTCCATTTCTTTTTTTACGTTACTTTGCTTTGACTTATGAGCCTTCAGTTCCATTTCTTTTTGCATAAATCACCTCCCTTTCACTCATGGTTTCAGGACTGGGGCAGAGGTATTCTTCAGGTCGACTCGCCACCCTCATGGTGACCAGAAAAAGCCCACAGGCTCAAATGCTGCACATTTGCCAGTAGAAAACCTTTCTTAGTATCACCTTGAGCACACGTGCAATGTGTCCCCTCATAGCGACTGCTCTTTCTATCTAGTCCACATAAACAGGGAAAAGGAACATTCTAAAGTCACAAATTTGTATTTGGGTTGTTCCCATTAGATGCAGGTTCAGCCTCAATCAGCTTCCGAAATGAGACTCTCCCCATCACAGCGAAGCAGCTTCTCTGAAAATTTCATGGTCTATGGATTAACGCCTACTCCTGATCCCGAGAGGCCCCAGGTACACGTATTGTTTCCCATCAAAGTCGGCAAGGCTGATGGAAAAGTAGTGTGTCAGTCTGGTCTTGGCCACTGAATCTTTACATAGGGCACCAGAGGATCTTTCTGATGTCCTAGTGGATGTCCAAGTGCTGATGTCCTTGAGAGACAAAGAGCAGGGTGGTTTTGATGTAGGTAGGTGCTAGAGACAATCTCTGGGGGCTCCATTACCCACCCTGTCAGTGAGGAAAGATAGTACAGGAGAGAAAGGGGAGGCTAGTCAAATTTCCTGGTGTAAGATAAGGTCTCCCAGAAACCCTCCTGTTACTGCTGCAGCCCATTTGTCTTTTTCTCCCTTAGTCTTTTCTGCAGTTTTGTGACCCTTGGTCCTCAGTGCTCTCTGCCTCCCGGCCTCTGTTCCCCACCCTTGGCATTGTTATCTGCAGCTACAGGCAGCTGGGCAGGTACCATGGGAGTGTCCTTTGATAAAATTTGCTGCGGCTGCTGAAAGTTTCTCTTCTTTCCTGATTCAATCCCTTTCTTGTGCTTGCTTCCTTTCGGCTTGATGCATCTGTACTTGAGGCAGCTACACCCTGCTTTTAAAAGCTTATGTTAGGCCACTCCACTGTCACAAACGACCTACATTAGGAGCTATTTTCAGTACTGAGAAATAAGGGTTTGTATGACTCTTCTGATTAGAACTTGCGAGATAGCTGTCACCCTAGAAATAGGAGTCCCTGAACAGGACTTGCCTCCATGGGAGCCTCTCAAGGAACTGTGTTTTTTCAGGCTGAGCATTTATCACAGCCTTACTTCTTTCACCACGCTCTAGTGTGATTTCAGGTTTTGTATGTTTATTTGGTATGATTTGGCAATTTCTTTGGGGGATCTGGAAGTATTAAAATTTCCATATAAATTAATGGTAATTGCTTGTTTGCTTTATGTAAGTTTGATTTAAAAAAGATCTCAGAAAATATTATACTTTCGGGTAGTAGAGGAAATCTATAATATAAAGCATGCTAAAGAATTTAAAGGGACTATTCAAAACTCTATGTACCCATAACTCTAGATAAATAGAGCTGTCTTGGGTCAATTTTTGTTCCTTCATGTGATCAGCAATTTATAAGGTCTTAGATTCACCTGAATTTATTTATTCAAAATACTTATTTAGTAAGTCATAGAAACGTGAGTTGTAAGGGCACACGTGGTAGTTCTCAGAGATGATTCTTAGCTCTATGCTCAGGGTTGCTCCCAGCTATGCTTGGGGTGCTGTGGTCAGCCACAGTAGGCCAAGAACATTAACCCCTGAACAGCTCCCCAGTTCCAGGAATAAGAAATTTTGAATCCTAACTATAGTATAAATTACCACAATTTTCCATTTGAATGTCTATGCAGATATGACTACTACATAAGAGAGATAGGAGGAAGAGACAAAAAGACAGATCCTGGGTAAGGATTTAAGGACTGAGTGTTCTCATGTGTCAGATTGTGAATTGATAAGAAAGCACTCTGAGTAATTACCTAGAATCTTTTCTTGACCTCAACACCACTAATCAGGCTTTTGTTTTCTTGTTTGTTGTGTATGTCCGTGTGTTTGTGTACATGGTGGGCTCCGGAAACTCCAGGATGAAATTCTAACTGTGATCAGAAGAGTGGATGACAACTGGGCAGAAGGGATGCTGGGGGACAAGATTGGGATCTTCCCCCTCCTGTACGTGGAGGTAAGGACTTGCCATCTGACTTCTGCCACTTTGGTCCTATGTTGCTCATCAGACTGAAGGAAGATGAGATTGGAAGCCCCTCCTCTAAGAGACTGAAAGCCTATTCTAAATGAATCTAAGTTCAGTAGAGACTGCAGTGCATTCTCATTTTAGTGCTATGAGAATTTCCTTTGCAAGTTTTGAGTAGTCTGAAATAGGTGCAATTTTCCCATTTCGCATAGAAAACTGCATTCATTTTCCCCAGGTGCTACTAAGTACTTCTGTTTTCATATTCCCAGTGCCATCAGAAAGGTCTTCACACCTGACAGCAGCATGCATAGAGGAAGGAAGTGTTGTGGGTCTCTTGAGTATCTTTCTAGGACTCGGATTATTTGGCTTCTTGTCTGACCTCAAGTCTCTAGAGCAAAGACAAGGCATACTTGAGGTTTATTAATTTCCTGGTCTTTTTTCTGCAACCAAGAGCAATCAGATGACATTATAGGAAGTTGCTGAGTGTTGAGCATCATAGGATGTTTTATTGTGAAATCCTTGTTCCCCAAAGGTGACTGAGAATGCACAGAAATATTTATCCATTTTGTGTATGAGTGTGTGTATGCACACATGTGCACAGACATAAAGTCCTGTCTGTCAGTGCAAATCCACTTGCATATTTATTTCCATAAGCTTGTTTCATCTAAACCACTGAAGTTACTTGACAGAATTCATTTCAGCTGATGCTTACTGCGTGCTTGTTGCTTACCAAACACTGAAGAACTTCCTCATGTAAGCTTCTCAACAGCTCTGGTAAATGAAAGCCATGAAATGTACACTTTACAGAGCAAATAGGAATAGGTTGGTTATCCCATAAGTGGTTGAAGCATTATACATAGGCCATTTTCTCTAAACATCCTTTTCCCCTTCAGTCTGTCACTAACAGTTGTACTCATTCAGTGAGGACTTTACACATCTGTTAGTGAAAGAACCAGCTTTGCCGTACTCGCTGAGCAGTGTGGGGTTGCCATTTGGCTGATCTTACTCTGCCTTATGATTCTATTTGCCCAAAGCAGTGATTTGACTGAGGTTCAAGGTGCTTTGCAATTGGAGCCTTATCTCTTTTTCAATCTTCAGCTCTTCCTATTTCCTCCTTCCCAAAACACTGGAGACAAGTGCCTCTTTCACATATGCTGTGGATAAATTGCCCTTGAGATGTCCCTCAAACAGTTTTTGTCTAGTGATCATTTTCACTTACCATTGTCACAGTAGTCCCTTCTCTATCCTAACTGTACTCCCCCTCCCTTTTTGTGGCAGGCTTCCTACCATGGACCCTTGTTTCAATGCTCTTTGGATATTATTCACATATATGTGATTTTTTCCTTTACATCCCACAAATAACCCAATTATTCTGTTTCTCTGACTCATTTAACTTTTATTTAAATGTTTAATTATTTTTGTTTTATTTGGGGGCCACACATAGCAGTGCTCGGGGCTTACTTCTGGTTTTCTACCCAGAGATAATTCCTGGAAGGCTGGGGGCACCATATGGGGTCTGGGAATTGAAACCAGGTCAACTTTATGCTATGCAAGTGCCCTAGCTTCTGTAATATAGCTCTGGTCTGAAAATATTTTTTTCTAATTCTAAATTGTATGCATTATACAATAAAAAGTAGAGGGGAAAGTTGAAGTAAAGATCCATTTAGTAGAAATTTTAAAGACACATCTGATAATAATTATTGATGTTTTACTATATTTAAATGCATTTATTTCAGTCAGACACTACTATCTACATTGCTACTTACAGTAGATTTTCAGGCACTTCCTGTCCACACAGCCACTCCACCACCTGTGTCTCCATTCCCCTGCCCGTGTTACTTCTAAACTTCCTACTCTTGTTTCTCCCCAGTTGTTTCTCTCTTTCCTTGGCATTTTTGTTTGTGTAACTAGAACCAGTGTTTTCTCCACCTTTGCTGTCTACTACTCCTTTCTATGTGTGTTCTTCCATATACCACAAACTGGCGAGATCACCAGGGATTCATCTCTTCTAATTCCACTTAACATAAAAATCTTCAGCTCCATCTAAGTTGCAGTGATTTGCATGATTCCATGATTGTGTATGGCTACATAGCATCCAGTTGTGTATCTATACCACAACTTTATCATCATTCACACTTAAGTTACTGGGCACCTGGATTGCTTCTATGGCCTATCTATTGTACTTAATGCTGTAATGAGCACAGATGGGCATATATATTTCAAATGAATGTTTTTTTTATCTTGCAAGTAGATACCAAGAAGTGGGACTGCCAGGTTATGTGATAGCTCTATTAGTGTTTCTGAGGAATCACCATCGTATCTTCCATAAGGCTAACACAGACAACATATCCACAACAGTTCATAAGAGTATCTTTTTCAACATATTCCCGTGAACAAATTGTTCTTATAATTTCTTTCTTTTTCTTTCCTTCATTCTTCTTTCAAGTAAGAACAGATTTTGTTTGAAGGTTTTTAGGCAAGAGAAGGAGGGAGAGAGTAACGCACACAAGGGAGAACATGAGCTTCTCCAGAGATGGAGAGAGCCCCTACACACACCTCACTATTAGATATGGAAGCTGCAAGTACACATCTTCAGAAGGGAGATGCGGGTACCACATATGCTCAGCCACGTGGGCACAAGCAGCAAATGGATTCCGGCAGCAGATGCACCTGTTCCTACCATTTTTGATTTATGCCATTCTCAATGGCGTAGTGATATCTCATTGTTTCCATTATTTGGAATTCCTAATAATAATTGATGATAAATACTTTTTGTATGCATACTTCCATCTGTCTTCTTCAGAGAAATATCTGTTAATTTGCTCTTCCTTTTGATATATGGTTATCAGAGATATTAATGTTGATCTTTGTAAGTGCTTTGTATACTTAGCTAATAATACTGCATCCAACGGGTTGTATGCAAATAAATTCCCCTAATCAGTAGAATGTCTTTTAATTTTAGCCTGTGTTTGTTTTGTCATGCAGAAACGTTTAAATTTGATTTAATCCTGTGGGTTAACAATTGATTTGTCTTTCTCCCTTCCACAAGGAGCTTAGGTTCATTGAGTCACACCCATCACAGTGCTCCCCAGTCACTCCCATTCCTCTGTTTATCTGTAACCACTTCTCCATGCTCTCTTCCCTAACCAGTTAATCAGCTTTCCCTCTAATCAGAATCTGTTAATTTATAAGGTCAGATCCTTCTAGGACACTGAACTGGTAATGTAAGTTAATACTGCCTTTCTCCTCTCCTTATGTCTTTTGAATAGTTTACTTTAATTCAATGTCCTTTTTGTATAGATACAGGAAGACAGTTAATATTATGCTTTGTAACTTAGAATTTAATTGGCTTTGAATATTATTTATTCCCAGGCATCTGCTTTCTCAACTTAGGCCTCAATTGCCCTCACTTCCTAGCGCCCCCAAAAGCAGGTCCCAACGAGGGACTGGATGGAACCAGGGCAAGTAGTAAGCTATGTGCTACCCCTGGCATTGAGATGGGCCAGGCCAAAGTGCCACGATTCTTAACTATAAGTTAAGAGTTTGATCATAGACAAATGCTGTCATGATCCAAAGGTAACAATGAGGCTAGGATCCTGCTAGAGATAGGAAAGACTCTCTAGCCTGAGCACTGTAGTCTGAGATCGAGATAGCCCTAGGAGAGCAATTCTATAAGCTTAAAGTATTTCTTACTGTGTCCATACAAAATGATTTATATTATGTATGCTTATATGTTTGTTGGACAAGGAGAGGAGAAACCCACCCAGGGGATTCTGTTCTAGGGTGGGTCAATTTGCTAAATGAAAATCTGTCGTAGAAGCTGCTTTCCCTGAGGGAAAGAACTCTACCCCTATTGATTGTGACCACACCTATGTGTAATTGTTACCCCAACCTGTTGGGGCTGGACTGAGCTGTCAGGGTGAGCCCATGTAGACTGCACCGCACAATGGGCAGGAACATAGGGGCCCATGAAAATGGGAAAGATTTCTCATGTGTCCTGACTAGTTTGGATGAAGCTGAACATTTTTTCCCCTTCAAACTGCCTTCAGTAAATAATTTCAGTATATTGTAAGGGGCAGTTTTCCTTTTCTCACAGAAACCTGGCTGGTCTTTGACAAGCAGATCTCAGGTGCTAGCCAGGCCTGATCTTCGGGATGTAGATTCCTGGCTCTAGCCAGACTAGTCTTTGGAATGCAAGCCCAAGAAAGGTTTCAGTTTTGGTTTTGTATCTTCTTTCCAGAGGCCAAAATTACTGGCCTGCAGATGCAAAGAAACAATGTATGTTTTGCTGCCTGAAAGTTCTTTCTGTAACTCCTTTCGATGAAGTCACTGCATTGCACCCTTTCCTTCCTTCCCCTGCCCTTGACCTCCCTGGAGTGGGGGAAATGGCCTGAGACTACAGAAGGCAGGCTTCAGGCTTCAGGAGAGATAGACCACTGCTGTCTTTTTGTGTTTACACAAACCCATTTGTTTAGTTTTGTTTCTGTTGTTTTGCCAATGGAATCATAGTGTTGAAAACATTTTTGAAGTCCATATCAAGGCCCAAATACAGGGCTGAGTGTTCTGCTTATATTTTTTTCAGTGTATTTTTATGGAATCAGATTTAATCTCAAGGTATTTGATCCACTTTAACTTGATTTTTTTTTTTACTTTGAGTTAACTTTTGTGTAAGGTCCAAGATGTGAATCAGTTTCTTTTTTCTTTTACCTTTTTTTTTCTTTGCAGACAACTATCCCGCTTTACCCATCCTATTACTGAGAAAGTTGCTTTTCACTCTGCTCTATGGACCTAGCTCCCTAGCACTTCTGTCCTAAAGATTTACTGTGGGTTTGGTGTAAATGGTGGCTATTAATTTGAGAGAGATTCCTTTTATCCCTTTTTTGTTAAGAGATTTTTTTATGAACAAATGTTGGATTATTCAAAAGCTCTCATATGATCATATCTGTTCTTTTGTCGATATGGTGTATGATGTTAAGTGATTCATGTCTGTT